ATTATGCAAAAGGTGTCAGACGCAAAACATTTCAGAAACCGTATGTATTAGATATGATACATTTGGCATTATAGGGTTAATCTGCTAAAGTTGAACCTTTCTAACCTTCCAGGTTTGTTTCAAACACATATTTAAGAAAATACAACATTGGCAATAAAGAGGTTAAAAGTTAAAGCGATTGAAGCTGAGAGGAGCAGAGCTGGAAGCTGGAAGCCTCCAATTCCTGCTTCCACAGATGAAACAATGAAGCTGCTTCCCTCGACCTTGGAACGAGTCGCCGCTCTAATCCGATCACACGTGTTTACGCCGCTCGGCCTCGGCCCAAACTCTTCCTCATGAAGCTAATCAAGGAGATTGCTGTTTGTAAACCGCAGCTGAACATCTGGGAGTGGTTGCTGCTGCCTCCAAACTGAAGCAGCTCCCAGCAAGAAAAACTCCAATTCAAAGCACACACACACACACACACAGCAGGAGGATCTATGTGTCACGTGCATAAGCAGCCCCCCCACCCCACCCCACCCACACACAACACGCTCCGCTGTGATCATTCCTCTGCTGAACAGGCAATGGAAACTTCTGCAAATGTAAATCTGCCGGGTTAAAAATACAGCGCGCTAATGTGCACCACATGTGGCACTCTGGCAGCGTGGAGGATATTTTGACGGAGGATGAGGGGGGGGGTTCCTGGGGTTTCTCCAGCAGCTGAGCTGAGGGGGGTGGGGGGGGACTCTCCTCCAGCCTTAACTCTTACCTTGAGCCTTTTCCACAAACACCACCTTGGAGTCGTGCTGGAAGTTGTGCCCGTCCAGGATCATCCTCTCCCCTCCGGAGGCCGCACACGTCTCCAGGCTCTGCTTATCCACCAGCGGCAGCTCCTGGGCCGATCTCTGGGCTGCGGGAGGAAGGTGGGAACGCAGAGTCATCGCTCAGCTCATAGACACCCACTCCCCATGCAGACCTGAGCATCCAGACCCAGCCTGAAGCCCAGAGCTTCTCTCCCTTCAGTGACGGACGATGCTTTATCTCATGTTCTATAAATATAAAGTGGGAATGTGCCCACGCCTGGGCCAGATGTTTGTGCTGAAGCCTCCTGCAGCCTCTGGGTTCTCCCTCTGCTCATAAGACCTGGATCTCAATTAGCTTCCAAACTTTAAACTCATCTGTAAACTTTCAACACTTTTTTTTCTTCACACATTTAGGGCTGAAAGAATTAATGAGATTAATCCTGATTATTCGATTACTGAAACAATTCTCAACTAATTTAGTAATCGATTAATCGATTTACTGGAAAATAGAGACTATAAAACATGCATTTAGCCGCCAGCGTGACTCACTTAGAGCAGGAAATATACCAAGATTGTAAAAAAGTACATAAACATTCTGAATTTAAGAAAAAAAAAGGTGTACTATCATTTATTTAACATTTTCAATCAGAGACATAAAGATGATGTTTATGTGGCTGAATAGGAAATATTAATGTTTTGGTTCACAGTATTTGTGTTTACTCAATATGTTGTGGTGTTCAAAAAGTGACCACTGAGATAAATGTCACAAAGCATAACATGTGTGGACTCAATTATAAAAAAAAAGAAATCTTTTAACAGGTAACATAGATAATAAAAAAGCCAAATCTTTTATGTAAACAATAAAAGAGATAAAGCTAAAAAACACAATGAACGGCTCAAAAAAGTAAAGCTTTTTTAAATTGCTTCAGTATGGTCCACCATGCAGCTCTGCAGC